TTATCAAAAATTTAAAACTAATCTAAGGTACTAGAAGTCAAAATAGCAGCTGCCCACTGGGGAAGAGAAGAGATATTCCCAGAAGACACAGAGGAGCCTGTGTGATGCTGTCAGTGATCTAGATCTTGATCAAGGTAGTGGTTACATGGTTGTGTTCCATATGTAAAAGTTCATCAAACTGTACACTTAAGATTTATATACTTAGATATATATAAATTATAAATTACTAAGGCATGACAAAAAGGAAAATAGTTTGCCTCAGAAGGAAGTTTCTAGTGGTATGTCAGAAGTAAATCTTTGATCCAATTCAACACATTTGTCACTAGCTTGAATAAAGATGAAGAAAACCTACGTTTCAAATTTGTGGATATCACAAAAAAGTGTCATTGTGTAATATATGATTTTTTAAAATGTCAACAGGCAGGATCCATGATTCCGTTTAACAAGCTGACATTTAATAGGATAAATGTAAAGTCCTATAGTTTAAAAAGAAATGTGACATAAAAGCCATGAGTAGCATGTTCTGGGAAAAATCATATGCTTTATCATTTTTAGAATCAGACAAACAGAGCTAATTAAAGTGAGCAAAACCTACAGGGGAAAAGGAAGATCTTCATAACAGCTAGCATAGGACTGTACATTGAGATACTGTATTCCCTTTATGTGAAAGTAAAAAATAAAATCTTAGCCTTAGAAGATCATACCTAGAAGAGATCCTAAAGGTTATCTAAATTCTGCCTTCTGTTATTTAAGTACATAAATGTAGTTTTTACATGCATATATTTATATTTTTATTCATATTTATATATGAGGAAAATGGGGCCTGAAGAGAAAAAGTAACTTTGTGAAATGTTCATGGTAAATGCAGAACCGTGACAAGAACCTAGCCCTACACTCCTTGTTTTCTACCCTGTTATTTTATCTTCCTAGTGTGCTGGTGATTATTTTAGGACAGAGCATCACGGTGAGCTTATATATTATATTTTATCTGGCATTTTTTACATATTTATGCTGTTTTCTGAAATAGAATGTACATTTAGGCCAGAAAACCTAACTCTGAATTTTCTAGGACCTAAAAACCCATAATAATGCAGAGTAGAGTGTTTTCACAACAGTTGGTCAACAAGTGTTTGTTAATTAATCATAAGAATACAGACAAAGGTGAAATAACTTTAAAACACTTTTATTTCCCTTTTCTTATTATCAGACAGAACCCTGCGTTATTTAGTCTCTAAATACTCAGGGAAAACTTTTCTCTCAACTTAAAAAGTGTAATATTTCTCATTGTCCAAAGGTCTTTCCCTTGTTTCACAGATAAATATCATTATGGCAATATATGGTTTTCCCTTTAATTCTGACTTTAATTATAATTGTAATGCACAATAACTGGCTGCTGATTTCCCGATATGGTCCTTCTTGAAAATGACTTCAAAGACTCATATTTGTCTTATTATATCTGTAGAGAGGTAATTATAATTGTTATTATCTTAAATTACAAATTCTGTTTTCCAATCATGTGATTATATTATATGTTCCCAAATTACCATATGTCTTAAGATAGTTTATTTTTAATTGTACTCTAGAATGTAAACTATGTGATTATCAGGATAGTGTCTGTTATGATCACCACCATATTTTATGCCTACAATAATTCTTAGCACAAACTATGAATTCCATAAGTATCTATTGAATGGAGGTAATTAAAGTTAAGAAATATATTTGGAAATAAGAATCAGGACAGAGTTCTGAAAATCTTCTCTTTCTATCTTTGCATCTGTCTGCATTTTGTATCTTTACAGTTTGTTGTAAAATGTTATCCTCTTTTAACTTGATTCTTTTCCTAATTAAATCATTCTTTACCTAATTTGTGTTTATTTTTCAGATGTTCTGAGATATTAGAAAACATGTTTTCCTATTTTAGCATTTTGTCTGGTGTGTGTTTGTGCAGGTATACAACATATATGTGAAAAAAAAATGATGAGGAAAAGGGATTTGGGCGTCAGTTTGTGATTTAATTCTTCTATACTGTTGGTTCTCCTTAATGCATCATCACATGATTAATTTACTCATGAGTTTCCCAAATGTACCTAACAGAAAGGATACAAGAAAATGTGTTAGTTTCCCAATGCTGTGATCTCATGGTCTTCACCATTTAGAGGTAGCCTCAGTATTACAAAGTGTCTATAGTACATGTGACCATATTGAGAAAAGTTGGGTCAGATGCAGTCCTTATCCATGAAATATTTAATGGTCTAGTTCTAGGAAGAAACACAAAAATGCAATTTCAGTTCAGTGTGACAAAGATATGATCAAGACGTCATGGTGTATATGGAAAGGAATGATTTATGATAATATATTGACTAAAATTTTGCAGCACTGACAAAGCTATTAGAAAGTAATATGAAATGAAGAGATACCTTTTTTTATTGTAAAGATTGTCCTGATTTTCTTCTTTGAATTCCTGCAAAAATACTTGCCTGTATGGCTTACATGCTGCTCATCTTACACTATTTCTGGTTCTTAGCCATTTCTTCATGTGCATACCTTCTGTTCCTTAATGAGCTAATAAGCATTTTTATGGCAAGCAATGTGTTTTCTTTGTATCTGCCTCCCAACCAGTCTTTATTCAGCATATCACATTACCTTATTACTCACTAAATGCTTACTTTGAGCTTATTATGTGTCAGAAAGTATTCCAGATAACCAGGGATAAAGCAGCAAATGAAATAAAGTCCCAGCCCTCAAAGAAAATACATTCTGTGAGACAAAAGAGAAACTCAACAAACAAACCAACAAATATATAATGTGTTTGATAATGATAAGTGTTATGGAGGAAAATACGTTTTGGTAAGAGGGAATAGAGCATGGTAAAAGAATAATTTTTATAGAATAATCAGGAAAGTTTCAATAAACGGGATATTTGAGCTAAGACAGCTGAGATATCTTGGGGAAAAATATTCAAGACAAAAAAAAAATATGCAAAGACTCTTGTACTGAAGAATATTTTCTTTTAGGAATAGGAAGATCTGTTACTAGAGATGGGTAAGTGAGGGGAAGAGTGGAAGGAAATCAGGAGAGAGGGTTGGAGGGAGTTGATAGATCATGAAACTCATGAGGGGGAACTTTAATTTTACCTTGGATGAGATGGGAAGTGACTAGAGAGTTTGGTGTGAAACAGCGGAGAGAAAATCTTATTTACATTTTTTTCTTGTGGAAATGTCTCCATTCTAACTTATTTATATTTTAGAAGTGTATCTGCAGCTATACTTTTCTAAATGGCAAAGCAAGACTCATATGGAAAGGGAAGTACAGGAGCAAAAATGGTAGCTAGGCAACCAATTAGAAGGCTGTTGCAAGACTTCAGGTGATAGTGGTTATTGGTTTGGTTACAACGTAAGTAGTAGATGGTGTGAGGTGGTTGGATAATGGATATGTTTTGAAAGAAGAAAAAAGTGAACAAAAATACTTGGTAATGGATTAAATGTGAGAGTATCTGGTGATTGATTGGAAGTGGTGCATGTGCAAACATAATCAGGACAATCCCGATGTTTTTAGTCTAAGAAACAGAGGATGGAGGTGCCAACTATCACACCACCATGGAAAGGGGAGTTGCCAGGCTGAAGACTTCAAGAGAAGCATGTTTCGTTCATTATTTGTCCATTGTACATCAAGAGTGCCTTATCTACAAACAAGCAGAGAAACAAAGGAGACAGTTGGACATACGGGTCTAATGTTTAGGGAAGAAGATTAGATTCAACATGCAATGCTTAATATTTATGCAAAAATAAGACTTATTTCTGTTGATTCATTTCCTGGTTCAATAATGAAAAAAATGTTAATTGATGCTTTTACAAAACGAGAAAATCCAACAAATCCTTGCTTCCCAGACATATATTTGGATAGGGTATCTCTGATATGTCTGACTTAACCATTGTGGAGAACAAGGACTATTTGCACTCTTTTGCTGAACTGGTAAAAGTAAAGACTGTATTTCATTTGAAACAGAGCCTCAAAGCTTGCTGATAAATGGCTTTATTATACTAATTGCATTTTCTTTATTTCCATAGTCTGTCAGTGTGCCAGAGGGAAATTTTATTGGTCTTAAAGGATTTGTTCTTCAAATGGCCATGTAGGTCGCAACACAAAAACTTACTTAGTTGCTGGCAAATTTATTATTTAATGATTCGTCCCCAGTGTCTTTCTGGTGGCTGTGTTTAAAATCATTGGTCTATAATTACTACCTTTTATGCATATGCATGCACATATATTTCATGTATAGTCTTTGGACACATTTTTCATTCAAGTATTCAAAAAGTACTCTTATTTAAAGACTCTGTGATCACAAAACAATCTTCAAGTATTCTTAAGCTCATTTGGACAATGACAGTTTGAAAAATAATGTAAGGGTCTTGTAGCTGACATCTGAGAAACTCATACCTTAGAAGGAATAATTGGATTGTAAGGCATTTTAAATACTTTGTACATTCTGAGTGGCCTTATGCTTAAAACACTCTTGATATAATTGAAATGCTCGTATGTTTCTTTCTAACTTCTCTCTACTTTGAGGTTTTGTGGAGTTGATTATCCCTAATAGTATTATTTTTAAAAGAAGATTCAGACACAGGTATAGCATGAAGAGAAAAATTGTGGTCCAAAATAACATGGTTTGGAATCAAAGTTGCAAATTCATGCAGGATAAAGATTTATTGAGTTAAGATAAGTAGAGAAATTAATAAAAACCAATAAACAATGCAATAGATTATTTCCATAATTTTCAAAAAATACTTCAAAAATCATTTGACTGAAATATAGGTTCTTTCATGTTTTCATGCTTTTTTTTTTAACTATTTGTATTAGTAAATTATCCTGAAGAATACTTAAAATCTAGTGTACCCAGGATGATATCCTAAAAGATACAGTTACAATATGATCCTAACACCTATATTGATACCTTTTATAGTGTGTATGTATATATATTTTTTTCTGTGTCTTATCCATAGAAAATGATACCATCTACTGGACAGACATGGGCTTCAATAAAATTAGCCGAGCTAAAAGAGATCAGACTTGGAAAGAAGATATCATTACCAATGGCTTGGGAAGAGTGGAAGGGATAGCCATTGACTGGATTGCTGGTATAATCCATGGCTTTTTATCTTTTTGTTTGACACCTATTTTGTTAGGGGCTCAAAATGCTTCATAAAAAATCTTTTCTATCTCTTTACATTTTTTTTTTTTTTTTTTTTTGTACTTCCAGCCACAGGGGTAAATAGTTTCTTTTGCTTTTGGCTTCGCTCCTTCTAATGCTTTTGAGCCTTTGGATAAGGGTTTTTATGTAGAAGTAGATTATGTAGTGTTAACTTTGCCCAAATCTCCTGAGAGCTCCGTAAGGCTGGTAAACAAAAGTGTTAGAAGTTCTCTTTTGCCTGAAGTCAGTAGAAAGTTAAAATAGGTCTTTTCTTTAGGTAGGAGAAGTTTCAACTTATTTTTACCATGTAAATATATCATTATATGGTTTAAACCAGAGATGTGTGAGATTAGAATTGAAAGTATTTGCATATTAGTTTATTTACAGCTTTCTGCTTAGGAAACACTTTTAAAAAGAATGTAGGAAGTAAACAGTTTCTTGGTAGTTATGTGAATGCTCAGAAATTTAATTTTACTCATAACAAGTACTTTTTTTCTCAAAACTGTATTATAAACACCTCTATTATTTCTCCTAGGTAACATATATTGGACAGATCATGGTTTCAACTTAATTGAAGTTGCAAGACTCAATGGTTCTTTCCGTTATGTAATTATTTCCCAAGGTCTGGATCAACCAAGATCTATAGCTGTGCACCCAGAGAAAGGGTAATTTTAAGATTTACATATATCTTCCAAGTTTTAAGTGAGTTTCCTAAGTTTTGTTGAAAAAAAAATTAATTACTTTTAGCTGTAATGTCTGAGACAAAATCAAGAATATCTTACCTAAGCAGAAAAAAATGTTTATATTCACTTTGTTCATATAATTTAGTGCATATTTGATGAAGTCACATTTATTGTAGATTTCTTTTATGTGTGCGTAAATCCAAATAAAGGCACCAACATGATTCTAGATTCCCAATTTAAAGCTCTTCCCTAGAATTGTTTACATAATTAGGTGTTCAGTTATGTATTGAATGAGTAAAATAGCCATTTGCTAGCCCTCCTTGCTCTCCAATATTTCTAAAATTTCCATGTTTATTCATATGTCTGTGGTTGTCAAACATGTTCATCTCAAACATTTTTTTCTTCTCCTTTTTTCTTCTTTTTTTTTGTTTTGAGTTCTAAATAAGTATAACTATCTGTTTTGACATTTTCATTTGGGTGAAATGTACATATATAAAACTATACATATATAAAACTGAAATAAATTTAAGCTGCCACCAAGTTAGGCTTGGTTTTTCTTCTAAATAAGTCTATTACCAATCCACCACTCTCTATCTTTATCTTTACCCTAATTAAATTTGATATTATCTTATATACTCAATAACATCGTAATCTGTCTCCTAAATTCACCAAAGCCTAGAGTGATTTTTTTTTAAATATACATCTGCTTATTTAAAGTCTTTCAAGGAATTTTTATTGCTTTATGTGTAAAGTCCAAAGCCTCTGTTATGATCCTTCTTAATCAGACTCTAATAATTTTTAGTCTGAAACTCCTGTTACTGTCTTTTTCCTTTCTCAGTCTCTGTTTGTCTTCTCTTAATTTGTAAAATATTTCTTATTCTATTCCACTTCCAGCCTTTGCCAACCTCTCCCTTTTACCTGCAATGCTCTTCTTCTATTTTTAAGTTGTTAAATTTTATTTGACCTTACTTGGCTTTGAAAATAGTTTAGATTGTTGTATGGACCCATAGCACCAAGTATTTTTATTTTATACATTATTTGTACTAATATTTATTCATTTACCTGGTAGCTATATGTGTTTTTGTTTGTCTGTTTTTGAGACAGACTGGCATTCTGTTGCCTAGGCTGGAGTGCAGTGGTGCAATCACAGTGTTGGGATTACAGGCATGAGCCACCGTGTCTGGCTGTAATAAATTATTATAGCCTTAAAAGATAAAATTTGACCAATTGCTTGACTGTGAATCATTATTCTAAGGCAAGAAGGAATATAGTTTGAAAGCTATGCAATCCCATAGATACACTGGAAATGGATGTTTAGTTTGTTTCTAATAAAGAACTTCTTTGCTTCATAGTTGCAATAAGTCAATTTATATTGTATAGAACCCCTTGTCTCTGCCCTATTATAGATTCATACAGCTCAATTTAACAAGCCTCTTGCTGCTACATGTCAATCTGTGAATTTCCTTTCATTTTTTATTCAAACCTATTGTAGACCCTTAAGTTGATATTCCAGAGCTTCTTTTTCTTAAGTACCTCTTATCTCTCCACATCCATCTTAGCATATGACTATACCTACTTGTCTTTAGCTTGATTGAGAGCATTAGGCAAAAGAATCTTCATATACTCTAGTTTTTATTAATTTATTCAATGAACATTTATTGAGTGCTAGGCACTGTGTGCCAGGACATGTCAGCATCCATCCATGTCATCCTCAGCCTTCAATTCAATACATCTTGACAACATACTAGTACATATGAAAGACACTTGTAGACATTGTGAAGTATGCTGGCATGAATAAGATGCTGCCTCTATTCACAGTGAGTTTTCTGTTTAAACTGAAAATTTAAACAAGTACACATTTCAGTTAAAGGAATAGCGTCACTTTGTAAAGACTTATTTTCAGGCACAATAAAAAATTGATCAAACTCAAATTTAAAGCTCATATCCAAATGTCATGTTGAAGTAATAAGTTTCATAAGATCACTATAAAATTATCTTGGGTTTAATGCAAAAATGATAGCATATAATTAGAGCAGGTAGTAAAAATGAGGGTGGTAGCAGCAATAATAGTGACTAGTAGAAGTTTTATGGAGGAGGTTAGAAGGAAAAGGAGGCTTCTGAGATGGGGTAGGTATATATTGCATGAAGAAGAAATAGAATAATTAAATATATGGTAGTGGCAAAGCAAAAACCATCAGCAAGAGTATAGGTACATGAGTTACACATAGGGAAGAGCAGGTGATGTGGCTGGAAGAAAACTTGGGTCCATATAATTGTTGGTAGGACTCCCTATATATTTTTTAAAAAAATGTTGGGGTCATGCCTTCTCCAGTTTACCAAGTGAACTCCAAACCAGTCCTGGACCCTCTCACCTCAGCCTTCCCTTGGTCTCAAACAAAACATAGAAGCTAAGATCAGAGGTGTGATGAGAGTTTATTGAAGTTGTAACATTCTTAAACGTAAAGCATCCTTAAGAATGGTAATTTATCATCCCTGTGGATTAGACAAATGGGTTCTTTCCCTGCCCTCAAGCCAAGTAATAAAGAGAGCTAGAGACAAATATGTAAGAGGGAGGCTAAAATAAAGAGAAAATAGCAGTAAATGAAAAAAATACTCTATACCTTTTTCACTGCAAATCCCAATGCCAAAGGGAGTCAGATCAAATTTGGAGAGAGGGAAGAGAATGTGCTCTAAAATTAATCTTAACTGCATGATACTATTCACTTAATGGTAATTGGCTGGGAAGTTATGGGATCTTTCTGAGACAGCAAAGTTTGGAGAGGAAATACTCAGTAGAGCATACATGGAATCAGTAGTTGGATAAATATAAAGTCATTTCTTACTTATTCCAACAGAGTTCAGGCTCTGTAATAAACTGTGATAGTGTATGAGGTTACCGAAGAAAGAGTGCCCAAAAAAGTAGTTTAGTAACAAAAATCAAGAATGCTTACAGATAGGGGATAAAATGATTAGGAGAGAGAGAAAAAGAACAACAACAACAACAAACAAACAAACAAAAACAGCCATTTTGAGTCTTTGGAAATTACTGAACTGTAAAAGTCAAGGGAAGAGAGTTTAAGGAGCAGTGTGCCAGCAATAAAGAGGTCAGGAGAGAGAAAAAGCAGAGAACAGAACACGTAACTGGTGATGAGGATGGTATTGCATATCTTTATGAGCTTCAGAAGATGAGTAAGGATAGAAGCCAAATATAAAGAGTAGACAAAAGAATGATTAGAAAGTGGAGCTAGCAAATACAGAATAAACTGATGGAAACTGGGTGATGAAGGGAAAGAGAAGAAATAAAAGATAAGTTGAGGGGATTGTAGGGTATAAGGTTTTTCTTAATATGGGGATATTGCACATATTCATAGGCAAAGGGGAAATAAACTAGTTGGAAGAAAGAGGATGGAAATGATTGTAAAGGGGAGACAAATTCCAGGGAGCATAGGAGGAGCCTTGACAAGGAAGAAACAATAGGGCTGAGCAGGAGGAATTAAGACAGAAAGCAGGGAGGCAAGATTTGTATCTTACATTGGGTATCCCAGAAAGAAATTCTAGAATGGGAAGTCAACTGAGGACCTGAAAGAATCATCGTCAGTCGAAAAGGGGAAGAAAGAGATCAAGCAAATATTTAATTTTGAACATAATCTTGGCCTCACACTGATTCCTGGAGGGACTCTAGAGTCTAAACTTTACCTCACAGTGATGGAACTTGGTATTCGGACTCCCAAGTAGTCAACCAGTGGATAAGGGCCACTCTGGGAAAACAGATGCTCTCAACATTTCTGACTGTCAGCACTTGTGGGAGAAGAGATTCAAGTGGCCCAAAGATAATCCTCCAAAGAAAGTTGTCTGTGTGAGCTGTTAGGGACAAAGGTCATTTGAAAGCTCAGAAATAGTAAACAGCATCTGAGGTTGTTTATATGGAGCACTGATGGTGCCCACTACAGTTTGGAGTCCCCACTTAGACATTTATTATTTTTACCTTTGCCTCTGAGGTATTTCTAAACTTCTTGGTCTCAAATGCCTGTATCATTTTAGTTAATTGGGAGGATTAAATGAGGTGGGTGCTAGTTCTTTTCCCCTTCAGAGATGGAGTGAAAGAAGAGATAGAATGTGGAGATCAAATGTATTTTAGAGGTTAAATTGATGAAATTGAAGAAAGTCACATCTGCTAGTCTTTATTTCTAAGGTTATCAGCTTTAAGTGAATAGGTTAAGTTTTTCCGAAGCTGTTGTGGTCAGTATTTCCCACAATAATGAATCAAAGAATTTTCAAGCAATGTGAGACTAGCCGGGATGGATTTCTAGAATCTAACCAGGAATTTTATATGACATTGAATAATAATGCTCGGCAATGTACAGGTAGTAAAGAAAATAAAAAGAAAATACGTACCAAAAGGAACAAAAGGTTATAGATCAAAGTTGGCAGTTGTAATGGGTTAACTTTGAGTTACCAATCAGGTGCTGAGGCCTGCAAGCTCGTGGTGAAATAGTGGGAAGTCAAGAGTAGACCAGGGTAGGAGTAGAGAGATAAGGTCCAGCTGGTATGAGTGACCCACACAGCTCTCTACATTAAGCGAAGGTGATGCTAGGGAGGTCCCTGGAGCAATAGAGATGAGGTACTATGATCTTGGGTGTTCGCACGTCATTAAGTTCTATAGAATGTCAGCAGTGGAAGGAGAAGATGAAAAAGCTGCCAGCCGGTGGTAAAGCAATAAATAAATGGTGTGTAATTGTGATAGATGATAATGCAGTCAAGGAAAACAGAATATGTGAATTCATACTGTAAATGTTTAAGTGAGTATAACCTCAGAGAAAGGTTTCTTCCTTAAAATAACTTCTCTACTTCTATTCTGGATACAAATATCTCCTCAGACATTTCATGCAAAAATCATTCTCTTCTATTTTATCATCCTTAACTTGTTCCTTTCAATGAAGCCTTTCCCTTTTGCTTTCAGATAGGCTCAGGTCACTCTCATT